AATTGGAAGTGGAGAAAGGAGAGTAATAAGAAGGATAAGTGCTCTGGGAGGTCAAAATTGAATTATATTAGAAGAAAGCAAGATGTATGATATTGTTCCTGGAGAAAATGGAAATGCTGAAGCCTCTAAAACCATTACTGTTATATTCAATGCCTTGAGTATTACCAATTGCACAGCTTTGGAATGTTTACCTATAGGTGGATATAAATCTAATGCATTGCAAAGTGTCAGACAAAGACAAAAGGCTGTTCCAATATGCACACAAATAACCGATAAGTTATTCCAACTTTTGTGTCTGACCGATCCTTTTGAATTGAAGACATATTTTATTGACAAACTACAGCCTAATGAGAAATATACAACGGAACCCATTTTCAAAAACTTGTGCTAGCTATCACTTGTTAGGTGCAGAAACATTTCCATTGTTGCTCAAAGCATTTTGGCAAATTCACTTGAACGACATACATGCAAAAGGATACTTGCCGACAGCTTATACCCATTCAAATTCACTTAATGGGAAAAAGTGAAGTTTTCATCCTTGAGAAAGACATTTGCTACTCTGGAGTTTGGAACAGATCTGCCAAAACACAATTATACTTTCCATGTGGACAGCCAGAGGATTGCAACAGCAATTACATTCATTCAATGAAGCCTTCAAGTAAAGCCTGGTCAAACAAGGAATGTAAGGATTGACAACCATGTATTTTCAGATACGTTTATGGATGTGGTGGACGGTGTATCGAAGACCTACAGAAAGTGTATAAGAACTCCTTTGATAGCCATGAACAGGTTGGGATGCATACATTTCACGATATTGTTAAGCTGCTGACAAAAAGAGGTGAAACAAAAGCTGGTTTGTCAACCTACTATATTCGATTAAGATATGTTAGTTCCATATTCGAGTCCATGATGGCAAGATTAAGCAACATGGAGTATTCTGAAGAAATTGAGGCAAATGATATTCAAGCAAGCATCGAGAAAATCTTATAGAGATTGAAAGAAATAATGTTATTTCTGATGATCAGACCTATTGCTGTACGTTTGCACTAGATGGACGATGTGATCATGTTCACAACCACGGCTACTGTGATAAGTGCAGCAAATGCGTCAATTTTTTCAACACTTCGGTTAGACTAATCTTGGTGCAGGCTGCCTCATTACTAGTGGATGTCCTTGATACAACAAAGGAATTAGAATCAACGTTAGCATCCATCCCAATTCTACAAAATACGACATTATGGTACATGGCCCATAGGCTTAGAGCAAAAGTTCGATTTGATGTGATCAACAAAGTTAAAGAAGAAATGAAGATTGATTCATCAATGATGCTTATTGTGCTTGACCAGAAGCAGAAGGTGTTACCCATGAAGTACAGGGAAGGTCAAGTGAAGTTCTTTGGTAAAAAGGGTATGTCATTGCTTGGTTCAACGAGGGTCAGATGGGTGTGTAATGATGAAGGTGTTGCCGGATTTCATTATGAATTTGTTGATTATGTGGAGGAAGGATACACAGGACAAGATAATGTACAAGTTTTGGCTGTACTGAAAGAGATGCTACAGGATGTTCGAACAAATTGTCTTCATATCTGTAGAGTGATTCTTCAAAGTGACAATGCTACATGCTTTGCCTCACAGGATCTGATCCCATATATATACCATCTCAATGTTGGAATGCAGTCTTCCACTGATGGGCACATTCTCCATGTTGAGAAGGGGATTTATACATAGGTTCCAACTGGTAGAGAGAGAGACTGGACACCTACCTTTCATATTTGAATTTGGTGTTCAACTCATTTGTGGGAGATTGAAATGACATAAGTACAGAAATGGACATATACAAGGCCTTAACATTTAAAGATGGGATTGCAGGCACTACCAGAAAAGTACTTGATGCCAATCTGTTGAATGGTCCAACTTTAGTGAAAAGTTCAAAGCAAAAACAGGAAGCTGAAATGCACGAGGTTCAATGGGAGGTTAATGCTGATAAAATCATTTGCTCATCCAATATATTCAAGGCAGAAGTTGTTGTAGTGTCCAAGCTTAATGCATGTGGAGCAAATGAACTGAATATTGAAATGAGATTGTTATTTACTTCCCCAAAGGCACCATTATTTACACCTGATTGACGTGCAAATTCTGAGTTAAATGAACAAGATCAATTCGGGATTACTGCTAAATCAGTAGCTATTAGTCAAGCACTGTCTCTGGTCAACTGTAATCATCCTGAAGTAGATATAAGCAGTGTAGGAGGTGAAACTACTACACTTTGTCCAGAAGCATTGACAGAAGGGTGGGCATGCTATCCAGAGAATACGAAAGATGAAATGCCCAGAGAGTGTGTGGAAAAGTTAATCGAGTTATACGAAATGGGAAAAAGAAACAAAAGTTGGAAAGTGTCTGCCGATAAAGCTCATCAGTTTCTGATGAATTCAGTCCTTCTAGGAAATTGACAAGATAGATATTGTGTCACTGTTTCCAAGATAAAGGCATTCTTTTCTTTAATCCAGCTAAATTGAGGGTATTGATTGATAGTGATAGTACAATTCCCAAAAACGTAGTAGATGAAGCTGAACGTTCATATTTACAGGAAGAAATTGCTGTATTTTCTGCCTCACTTATTGATTTAGATATGCAAACAGATAAACTTAGCCCTCAAGAACAGCAAAATTTACATACAGCTGTATCTTTTTAAATACTTAATGGATTTTAAATATGAAGAAAGGTTCTGAATAGTAGAGTTAAGTAGTTTATTTCTACCAGTCAGCACCTTCTGGAACTTAATATTTCAAAATTGGGGTTGGTTTTTCGTGACCTGGGGTCTTAATAAAAGCAAATATGTACTCTAGTACTGATATTATGTAATCAACTTTTTTTTCTTTTATGAATGCAAGTTACTAAGTGTATTTTATTGTTCACCATCCTTTAAAAAGGATTATGTATGGAACTATGAAAGTATGTATTAAAATTAATTATGTTATTTAGTTTTTCATTTAATGTTTAATTATTGCTAAAGCTGGATACTTTAATCAATATAATTGATTATTTTTAAGCTGTTATTACATCAAGTAGTGTCACATAAGCTAATTGATTAATTGAAGTTATGATTAAATCAATTGATCTAACTTGAACTAATCAAAATTTGTGTTTCTGTTTATTCTAACAATCAATTAATGGAAATTCTATTTATATCATTTGCCACAAAATTAATCAACTAATTGAAATTAGTGTTTCCAGTTATTTCTGTTTTTCATTATTCCAGCAATTTGTTAATCAAAATTACGATTAAATCACTTGTCACAAAAATAATCAACTAATCAAAATTTGTGTTTCTGAATATTACTATTTTATGTTATTCGAACAACCAGTTGATCAAAGTTACAATTAAATCGATTTTCATGAAATCAATTAACTAATTCAAATGACTGTTTCCAATTATTTACTTTTTTGTTATTATTCCAGCTATCCAAGTATTCAGAATTTTGATATTTTGTTTATTTTTAATCACAAAGCTACATAAAGGGCTATCTGTGCTCTGCTTAATTCTAGTTTAATAAGTTTTTTGTCATATTTGTTAAGCTTTGGTGATTGGGAGGGGGTAATTCAAGGGTCTTGGGTTTGATTCTCATTGGCACTAAACTTGCTCACCCTGTATTTGTTATGACAAAAATACTAAGGCTATCTGCCACTTTCACTAACTTTGAACCGCTGACTAGAGAGAAAGCAACTCATTGGTAGTCCACCCACCAACTTTTTTGTGTATCATGGTTTGAGGAATGTTGTACTAATCAATTAAGGGGGTCTTCAAATAATCAGTTAGCAAATACCACTAATTGCCCAGCTCTAATCATTACAAAATCCCTTGCGTATTGATTGTTTTATATTTCAAGTCAGAGTTAGTTTATTTAGCTTGAATGTGTTTATTTTCTTCATTTTTATTTTTAGCATGAAACCATAAAAACAATTGTTTTGCATTTTCTTTAATCACTTGTGTTCTTAATGCCAAACACAGTTGATAACATTGTCTGAGAAAACTTTTTCAGTCCTAAGTTTATTGAATCATATTCTAGACTACTCCTAGACTATGGTCAACAGTAGGAACTCCTACAAAAGCACGTGTCAATTCATCGTCACCTTCCACACCAGGTATTTACTCTCCTGCTGCTGCTAGGACTGGGTTTGGCAAAACTAACTTATCTATGAGCAACCAGGGAGATATTACTGCAAGGCAAGTTGTGTATAGTATATTAAAAAATATCAAAATTTTTGATATCATGGTCAATAACCTTCAAATATCATATTAGTATTAATGCAGGCCTTGACAAATATTTTTAGATCTAGGAGCCAGCTCCAAAACTCAGGAGTCAGGTGTGCCTAACCTAACTTCACTATTGTTTGTACCAGGAAATGAGGGCAATGTATATTTATTTACTTTCACAGCAATGAGTGCATGCTAACGATCACATGATATCAACATGTAACTTCAGAGCTTCATTCCTAAAAAAACATGAAGTGCTGAATCCGCCATTAAAATCCTAGAAACAAAGTTTGATTTAGGACTTAAAAAACAGGAAAATAGCTCTTGACTTCTAAGAGTCCAGAACTGTTCTCAAGCACAGCCCTATGCACGAATAAAATGGGAGAAAAAACTATGCACCACGATGAACTATTTAGTTGCCATAGTGACCTGGCTTCTAGAAGTTGTCGAGGCCTGTATTAACTAAGTTTACAGGAGTGTGTCCATGTAGCATCTTGCTTAACCAAGAAAAAAAACAAGAGTATAAAAAAAATACTTTTTCCAACTTATAGGTTTCAAATTTCATTTGTATAACTCTTAGAACTTCCAAAATGGATATCAAAATGTATTTTTAATTTAAGTTAAATATTTATTTTTATATTTTTTCATTTTTTCTATGATATTACTAACTGTAGGTATTATACTATATAGTCTATAGTACATTACAATGAAATGTTTAAAATTAAGACATAGGAAAAATGTACATACCTTTTAATATTTGGTGAAATAATCTTAAAACATCTTTTTTGCATGTCTCTAAACTTTTACAAATAATTTATTTTAATAATTTATTATCCTTTCCTGTCCTTTAGCTTTGTTATTTATCGCAACACACGTCAATGGCCATCCTCAACCAATATTATCATATAGTGGGCAGAGAAACTTCAACCCTCGGCAGAACATGGTGGCAATTGCATATTACACTATCTTTTGTAAACCGAGCAGGCATTGGCTTATATAAAAAAAATATTAAACCTTTCAAATATGCATCTTCAAACATACAAAACACATAAATAAGTAAATTATAAAACCAAAACCTAAATACAATGCAACTGTCTATCTAACTAATGTATTTCTAGGTAAGAAATAACACTAAAGTGGTGGGGACAAAGCAGCAACAATGCTAAGAGCAGTTTGACTAATTTTCTATATAACTTTTTGTGCCAATTTTAAAATAACAATTAACAGAACTTACTTCAAAAAGCCCTCTTTCCATTTTTTATAAACATCTAGCTCAACTAAGTGTAATTGGCTGAGAAATGAACTTAGTGGTAGAAAGTGGGCATGGAATGTTTCAAGAGAATATGAAACATGAACATGAAAGAAGAATGTGTAAACAGAGCAATTAACCTAGATTCTTTCTACATGTGGAAGGTTAGCGTGAGTCATGAACTGTTCAAACTGCAAAGATACAAATTTAACATTTTGTGTACTTGCGGATCATGAGAGAATAAAACAAAACTCTTTAGAACTCTCTTTTGAAATACAGGAATTAAAACTTAAATAATATAAAACTTTGAACTATAATCTAAATTTTAATGCTGATTTCATTGTCAAACATTGATCATGAAATAGCTTAATTAAATTTTAAACTTAACTAAGTAAAATCTTGTGACATGCGTAGAAAAGGGTCACCGTAAAAAAGGAGTCAATGTGCTTTCACATTAAACAATGTTAATGGATTTCTGATTGTTTTATTATAAGGAACCCTAGGTCATATAATTATAGAATATCCTTTATTAACCCTTTGACTGCAGCTGCTTTGAATGCATGTGGAATTTTTTGCGAACTGTCCACTGTATACAGCATGCTCGTATTCAACTGGCAGAAGCAGACTATACACTATACAATGAATCAGCAGTCAATGGGTTAAAAAGATATTTGATTTTGACTTGCAAACAAAGTCATTAAACTGTAATTTTACATCTAAATCTATTGTATAAATTTTATAAATTGTTTGAATATCTTGTTGTTCTTGTTTTTTATCAAATATGGTGTAAATATGTCTTTTTTTTTTTATTAGGAACCTTTTAGGTCGTCAGCCCACTGATAAAGCAGGAGGACCACCTGTCCAGGGTCTTTTTGATACTTTAGCCACTTCTCAGTCACAGACATCTGGCATATCTAGGGTGAGATTAAAATAAAGAAATATGGGTTTTTTAGAAATGATAAAATCTAATGCTGATGGATTCTGTTATTACAACTTACAAGTTCCAAAACACATAACTCTTTTACTACTGACTCAGTAGATTACACCTAGCACTAGCACTTGACCCCAAAGTGACCATTGGAGTGCCAGATGATAAATTTTGTTAAAATTTGTTCATGAATGTTTGAAATCAAAGTGTTGACTGTTCTGAATAGCAAAGTGATTTTCATGTTAAGGTTAAAAATACCTTTCTTCATCTGAAAATTTTTGAATTTCATTTGCCTCATCTCTACAACTTAAATGAATATCAAACTTCTATATTTTTCACAAAACTTTATATTTTATCTGTTATTTTCTCTACCCTAACTCTAGAGGGTCAGTCAGTTTAACAACCATAAAACTTTAAAGGTTTAAAAATGCAAAATAAAGTGAGTTGTAGTGTTCTATCCTCTTTAGTATTCACCACAAGTTCCAAAGTACATCTCTTGAGAATTACTACTTCTAACCTTTTCACATCTATATCTTATGTTTACTTTGCCATTAGTGGCTGAAGTAGAAACTAGCCAATCATAAAGCTATGAATCACCACACCTGCCATTAGACTGTTTACATGACACCATTGGTAGCAAATAAGCTTGTGTGGTGTAATTATCAGAACTTTCCCACAGAATTTATCAGAACCCTGGTTTTGAGAACACAATGGGAGGTATTTATCGGCTTGTTTATAGTATTGTGGTTGAAACGAGAATTGTCTAAAGCAATAAAAGTGTGAGAAAATATTTATGATATAGCTCTGTACAAAGTCTGAATGAATCTAATAAACTTGGTGGATATTTGGGTGCCAGGTAGTTGGAATTTAGCAGTACAGATTTACAAAGTGCATAAGGGCTTAAGGACATGTATACATATTATTACTATTTACTCATAAATGCATAATGTTTAGTTATTCTTCTTAAAACATAACACAATTGATAAAAATTATATTGAAATATAATGATTTCTAGTAATTACATTGTTACAAAATTGATTTCTACTCGTGCATTGTACTTGCTAAGCCTCACTATAAGTCTAGTTTATTCTCTCAAGTGGAGGGAGAAGGCAACTTTATTTTTGTAGATTTAAAAGATGCATTTCAGAAAACCAAAAAATTACAAATTACTACACTGGTATACAAAAAAACTTTAATTTACCTGGCTTTCTAACTAAGCTATATTTAGGTTTAAAAAATTCTCATTTCTGTTCAGGGCTATAACTTACTCAAAAGATTTCAAAATTTCTGTTCATATACAGATTCGTCTTCAAAGCCAATTACAAACAACTGTTAGACTTATGTAGTTTAGAATGTGCTCTTTCTGTTGGCTGTAAACATGTACTTAAAAGAAGTAGGCATGAGTAGATAAGAGGTTTCAAAAGAAAGGAGTAGTGGGTGGGGCTACCATAATAGATCTGCAAAATATATTGATATCTCAGTAAATCAAAAGGGTGTGAGGTTTTTTTTGTGTTCTAGCTTGTAGGTGTCTGAAATTTCAGATTCGAACCACTATAGACCTATGGTAGGCATAATAAAATATGTACCAAACATATTTGGGATTTTTTAAAATATTTTCTTTTGAATTAAGAAATTAAAACATGTATAATATCAAAATTTGAATTATAAATTACACTGTGATGCCAATTTTATTGACATACAATAATAACATACTTTTTAAATAAAGTTTGAAAATAACTAAAATGTCATGATGTGCCATTTGACCTGTCTGCTGAGAGAAAATTAATAGCATGCAAAGGTATTGCAGACGTTGGTTTCAAGGGATGATAGCTCTTCAGCTTTATAATATTTTAAAGAAAGAAATTTAGAATGTTTTGTTTTGAACCTCTGTGCATTACACATAATTCTTATTAAAATTTTAAGAATTTAAGTGTGTATAAAATAACTGTGATAGGGATATTTGATAGCTTAACAAGTACTCCCATCATAGTTATTTTATATACACTTAAATTTCTTTAAAGAAAATAAAAATCAGCTCTCTAATACTTTTTCTGAAAATTTCACACAAAAAAATTATGAACAGAAGTTTACAAAATTTTATAACATATTGTGAAATATTTCATTACTAGTGATTGGTACAAGTTTACTATGTAGTAAATAGAAACATAATTGTGCTTCATATTGGTATCGGTTTATGTAAAACCAGAGTTTATATTAGTTCTAGAAAAGCCTTTAATATCCATCAATTCAATTTCAAGGACTTGATAGCCCTTGAAAGATTATAGATTATAACACTAGAAACTTAAATGCTTTAGTCTACCCTTTTTAACTCCAGTTAGAACAGTGAATTGTCACAAGACAGTTGTATCTATTTCTTCATTCCTGAATATATATATATATATACACTGAGTAGTCACAAGTAAATAGACACCTAATTTTTCATCATTTAACTGATTTATGCTAACTAATTTGTGTTCACAGAGCAATATATAAATGAAAATGGTCCGCACACTAATTACCTTGTGCTAAAACATACCTAGAACTCAAGGTTCTCTTGAATTGTCAGGTTTTGTTAGAGGAAGGATAGTTGGTCAAGCAGATGGTGGAATAAGTCAGTGGCAAATTTCGCAGAATTTGGGAATCCAGCTTTCGACAGTCAACAGAATCATCATGCAATTCAGGAAACAACTGAAGGAAACAACTGAGCAGT